AGTGATTCACATACTTTGGAAATGGAATTTGCCTATTTTAGTATGATGTCATAAAGATTAATTCAATGTACCAAAATTGTGGCAGCTTTTAAGATCTCTTCAGACATGTTATGTGATAAGATATTATTAATTAATTTAGTTTATCATGTGAATAAATGAAGTAGAATATTTTTCAAGAGTGTAAATATAAATCTAGATGCAAAAAAGTCTTTTTTAAAAGTATGGAAGGTTTTTTTCCAGCCAGTTACCGTAACTACATTGCACTATTTTGTTAATGTTCCTAAAGCATCCATGATCTAATGAATGCTATTTTCTTAAAGATAAATAGTAGTAAAGACACTGAAGTTGTTCTTTGGCTTCTGAGGGTGATTGGCTCCAGGACCCCTGCAGGGACAGAAATCTGCAAATTCTCAAGACCCCTTGGAGGAAATGGTACAGTATCTGCACACCATACTTCCCATACATACTAACCCATCTCTATATTACTTGTAGTACCTACTACAGTATAGATGTCAAGTAAATAGTTATTGTGTTGTGTTGTTCAGGGAATAATGACAAGAAAAGTACATGTTCAGTACACATGTAATCATCATTGGCTTACTACAAAGTAGATGAAAATGCTGTGATTTTTTTTCCTGAATATTTGGAACTATAGATACTGAGGGCTAATTGTGTACACTTAAAAAAGAAAACCCAGTTTCCAAGGCCATTTTACATTTACTGTGACCAATGTAGGACTGTACCTGTGAAAATGAATTTCAGTAACTGAAACAGTACTGCATAGATGCTTTAGTAAATCACCTGTTGTAAAATTTTGTAATTGCTCATAGTGTTTATTGAAACCATTCAGGTCAGGTTATAGAACGTAATTCGTTTAATAAGTATGCTAAGTATCTGTTTAGTTCTGTGGTACTTTGATAGTATCAGAGGGGTAAAAGAAAAATAAAACATAAAACCATGATCTCTGACTTTAAGAAGCTATTTCACTATAACAGAAACAATTTGATTGAGAGAGATCCTTATGTAATAGAACTCTGCAAAAATTGCCTATTGAAGATTCTTTAAAAAGTAGAATGGGATTGGATGAGAATCAGAGAGATGATTGTGGTTTAAATCTTACTTATGTTCAAATTAATGATACGAAAGTTCAAGGTGAATTCAGTCTAACAAAACAAGGATTATCACATCTGAAGGAAAGAAATTACCTGTATTACTGAAATTTGCCCACAAATATTTTGATATATTTGTTTGTATTGAATATAGCAATGCTTCAGTGTTGATCCTTTTGGTTGAACAGGCTAAATTTATTAATATTTTATGCTCAGAACATTAAAACACACTTGTATGCCCTGCTAAATATAGGAAACAATGTTTACGCTAGACTACCCCTATTTAAGGCATTCTGTGTATGAAACTGTTTGTGGTCCCTTTCTGCTTCAGCAGCACGTTTAGGACCTCTTTATGTGTGTTAAACAAAAGACGGTTGTAAGCTGTTTGGCTGTATGATAACTAATTAACAAGTGAGATAGAACTTAAGGATAACGTTTGCAAAGTCTTTGCTCAAACTGCTCTCTTCCTTTGCTGCCACAGGCTAACCCTTCCCCGTGCTCGGAGCTCTGTGGCCATGCTAGCCCGTTTGACAGCTGCTGTTGTCTGCAAGCCCCTTCATGCTAAATGTGCCCGGGTAGGGCAGGGAGTCGGGAGGAAAAGGCCGGCTTAAAATTTAAATCATCTTCTGTACTTGTTTTTCCTCCCACAGTCAGTGAATTAATACAAACAATCTTTGAGTTTCTGTTACAGTTCTTTTTCTTTAATGCAGTATTTTCCACCTTCCTGTGATACTGAAGTGGAATCTCTAGGAACATCACCTACAACTGTTTTTACTGAGAATCAGCTGAAATGCTCATGAATGTGATTGTGGTGGTGGTAGTGGTGGTGATGATTATTATGTAGTAGCACTACTTTTGAAGGCTTATGATGTGTCCCATTATGCACACCATTTTCAAAACAATCTTCCTAACGTATGTTAGATTTTTAGACTCAGAGTTACAGATCATCTTTTCCAAAGTTGGCAGACAAGTCAGTATATGTACTGTCCTGAAGTGTGTGCAGTACTGCCAGGTTTCTACTTCTGCTCACTCTTATTTGGTCTTAAATGCAATTTTTCTGTCTATAAAAATCTTAGTTATCATGAAGGTTTATGAAAGATCTTTTCTGTGAAGCCATTCCCGTAGACCTTAACTGAAATGTCTTCTCTAAGCTCCTGGTTCCTGTTACTCATGGAGCTAGAGCAATACTTGTGTGCCACGTGGAAGCTGGAAGGTTATTTTCCCAGGGGAGGTTTTAGGAGAGCTTTACCTTTTATGCTCCTCTTCCCTTTAATACTTAGCAGAGCCTGTAACACAGTGTAACACGTAAAGTGAGTGATCAGACATTTGTTAATTGCTTTACTCTCAAAAATTTTGTGTATAAATTTCTAGTTATTCACTACCCAAAAAGAAATAAAGTGTGTAACTTTCTTTAAATCTTTATTGATCCCAGGATCTCTTCCTTATTTTTATACTCCATCTACTCTTGAGTTGTTGGGTCACTAGAAACGTGTCTGGCATTGGGGATGAGTTATGCATATTTTAGAGAAAAAAGTAAAGCTGTTACTGAACTTTAGAACTGAAGCACTTTTTCTGCTTTGTAGTATTTTTCTTATTTCTACCACATTCATAGGATAGTATTGGTGTAACCAGTGTCTTGAAAATTTGTCTGTTTTTTGTTTAATGCATTATTTTCAACCTTTAGAGTGGTGTTGAATTAGAATCTCTAGGAATATGACCTACAACTGTATTTCTACTAAGAATCACTTGGGATGTTTATGAAGGTGGTTCTGGTGGTAGTGGTAGTGCTGATTCTGGTGGTGAGGATGATGATGATTATGAAATAGCACTACTTTGAGCGCTTATGATATTCATAGTTCAGTCTTCTAGGCCGTTTACAATTATTACATTGCCTAATGTTCACAACAAGCCCATGTGGTAAAATGCTGTGGTTATCTTCATTTTTCCATATGGAGAAATACAGTCAGAAGCGAGTAATTTACCTCCTGGATAACTTCCTTATCAACACAGGAAGAAGATATGAAAAGGCAAGGCATGATTTTTTAAAATCCATTTTATTAAAAATGCTGTAATACAAATGTAAGCTGGCTCTTATATAAATTGGCTGGTCAGTGTTCTAACTACATAGAATACTTCAACCAGAATTAAATATAGTTACTTTCTGTAGTTTTTAAGAAGCTCATTACAGTTTTAGGTGAAAAGTAGACAGGCACACACCAAGCATATTGGGGGCAACCTGAAAATATTACACATTCTTCTAAGCTCACATAGTTTTAGAAAGATTGCTCCTTACATGTAGTATATACATGTTTTTATGCTCCTCTTCCCTTTAATACTTAGCAGAGTCTGTAACATAGTGTAACATGTAAAGTGAGAGATCAGGCATTTGTTAATTGCTTTACTCTCAAAAATTTTGTTTTGTTTTTTTTTTGGTTTTTCTCCGGTACCGGGAACCGAACTCACGACCTTGCGCTTGCCAGGCAGGCGCTTTTGCCGCTGAGCTAAATCCCCAGCCCCACTCTCAAAAATTTTGTGTAAATTGGCTGTATATGTGGATATAGGTGTATACACATTATATACACACATATATACTTACGTATACACACAAGTATGGATATACACACATACATTCATTCATAGATACAGATACATAGAGACATACACACAATACTGACATGCCACTTTGTGACCAAATGGACTAGAAGTAGAACTCCTTAAGTGCATATGTTAATAGAATAAGGTAATCTTGTTTCATATGCTAAAATACTGTCCTTTAATAAGTAGGGAGAACAGTTTATGCACCTTTGGTCCATAGACACTGGACAGCTGGTGGAGTTGGAAGTAATGGCTGTGGTGTGCTGGCTGTGGAGCAGAACTGATGTAACATCGCTGCCTGTTCAGAAGGGCTTGGATGAAGGGTTTTCAGTGTTGTCTAATGGGTGCTCTGGCTGTTGAGACTAGTTAAACTAAAAGAATGCTGTGCTTTGCTAGAAACATCTTGTGAGTTACGACTTTGACTAGATAATGGAGTCTAAATTGAGTTAGTAGACAACTTTTGTCCTTAAAACTAAATCTAAAGTGTTTCAACTATTTTTATATTTCTCACTTACAAATTTTCTGAACTTCTGTTGATGCTCATTTGTATGTAATTGAGATTTGATCACCTGATGCAGTCAAGGTAAGACTGTATATTTCAGATCTTGTTCAGGTGGTGTGCTTAAGTAGTTAGGCAGTCCTGTGAAAAATTGAATGCAGTGCCAAGAGTGAAGGCACAGTAGATACGGTGCCATGGAAAATTCTAGGGAGTTATATCTTTCAAAAAGAGTTTTGATACATTCTATGTATTCTTCAAATTCATGGACTTACTGTGTAGGAGACAGGTATAAAGCTGAGTGCTTGCCGTATAGCTGATTGTGTAAGAAAAGGGTATCTTGTTCAATTTGATCATACACTGTTCTTTAACTTTATGAGTGGATTCTTTGTATTTTCCAGAGCTAGTAATCTGATTGCTTGAGATTAGCATTGAGGTTAAAAAATTGAAATTCCCTGATAAAATTGTACCGTATTCTTAAACACGAATATTTTGTAAAAGCAGTTTGTATTGTTATTAAGGGGTCTTGATTTTACTGCCAACTGGCGGTCATAATATATTTATTTATAAAGTGAAGAGATAGTATTAAATGATACAGCTCTTACAAGTGAATTAGTCAAATATATTAAGTTTTATAAAAACACATTGGAAAGTCAACCACTGCTCATTGCCTGGTGGAATATGAAGCTGGCTTTATTATGTAGATCTGTTATCAATAATGTTGTTCATACCAAGGAAATCATTCAGTGCTTTTGATTTATAATTTTGTCAATCTAATGGTGACTTTTTAATGTTTTGTCTCCTGTATTAAATATAAAATTACTGTCACGATTGCAGTCATTAGAATGGAAGAAGCTGATCTTATATTGAAAGCCTGATTTACTTCGTAAGAGGGGATACATCCATGTTCTATAATTTCATTGCATCTGTTTGCAGAGTGTCATGAATACTTCCACAGTTATATTCTATGTTTAATCAGTTTGACTTGTGGGTTTTATTAGGCTAAATAAAAAATAGTTGAGTACTTTCTGCTTAAAACACTTTCAACATAAAATCTTATTTTAGTTACATACATGATGAATTTAAACCATTTAAACTGCCGCAGTGTGCTTGCTTCTGATTTGGAAATCTAGCCCTTTATGTGTCTGTATATATCATGCCTGCTCCTGTGCACACATACGCCTCGTCAAATTTAAGTTACAGACTTCTTGAGAAAGTAGCTTACTCCTTCCTTTGTATCATAGCATTTAGAACAAAACTGTTTCTCAGTGGTTTGTAAGTATTATGGCTATTGCTGGTTTGGGTTTAAAATTATTGAATAGAGTGGAGTTAGTCTGTTTCTAGTCTGAATTATACTGTTTTGAGGTCAGTGTGATTAACTCAGAGACATAATAATTTTATCAAGCTCTGAATTCAGTTTTTTTTTTTTACTTAATCGTAAGCTGATTATTCACCTTTGATTCTCTCTTGTATAACATCTTTGTGTCAGGTTATGATACAGAAACATCTGTCAGGGTGTAGGTTGGATGGTGTGCATGTGTGTATACATGTGTGAGAGAGATCATGCATGAAATATATGAGATTTGGGGTATGTATCATGTTTAGGACATTAAACTGTATGAATCTTTGATCTATCTGGTTATACGCACTTAGTTGTGGGCCTGTTACACTTGCTATTAATTAGTGGCAAAGTGTGATGCCCTAGAAAGATAAGGGCAGGTATTTTCTTTTATGTTTTTGTTTTAACTTTTTTGCATTTTTGCTAAAGACTTAAGTTTATAAAGAATAACTATTGAAATGACCATAAATAATACTAGAGCTCTGAAATAAAAACATTTATGAACAATTTATTAGCGCTGATATTTAGGAAGCATCAAAATGGACTATACAACTGAGTAATCCTAAAGCCTAATAACGCAAAATTACAGTGCGCTATGCAGTGTAGCTATCATACTAAAAAAAAAAAAAAAAAGAACCATTAAATTAGTTCAGAAAAGGAGCTGAGAGGTTTTTTATACTATAAAGTAACAAGTGGTAACTGTAAACTTTGTCTTCTCAATGCAAAAACCTGTTTGCAGGCAGGGCATGAGCATGTATCTTCAGTGTAACCTTTAACTTTTAAGGTGTATAGGGGGCTGGGGATTTAGCTCAGCGGCAAAGTGCCTGCCTGGCAAGCGCAAAGTCATGAGTTCAATTCCTGGTACCGGAAGAAAAACGAAAAACAAAAAAAAAACCAAACCAAAACTTTTATGGTGTGTAATACTACAAGTGTTGTATTAATGAATATTTTATAAGTACACTGTCAGTGTTTCTAAGCATTATAGTTAGTTTTTAAGTGAAGGCAATGTTTGGGAGTATTTAAATTTGTGACTTCGTAATTTATTACATAATTCAATAGATACCATCTTTATAATGAATTAATTGGAGTTGCAGAGTAATTTGAGGATCTTTAGGGGAAAAATTGACTTATTTAAAATGGTTCTCTGAAGATACTAGAATTTTTGTGGAATTATCTTTTTTGATTATAGTATTTCTTCTCAAACATATTGTTTTGACTGCTTGCAAAGTGTATTTTCTAATTTAGAGTCGCTGCTCATTATCAGGTGGTGGGTATAGGAACAATTTAATAAATTTTGGGTAATTTAGTTTTCAGTTTAAATTCTCAACTGGCAGTTGGCCGAAAACTCCCGTGTGAAGACATGAGCATCCAAATGTCAGTTTGTGATTTGGCCACTATCTGCTTGATGTAGGAAGGCGCTGTCAAGAAAGACTTGACTAATGGAGTGACTGTCCAAAGGAAATCAATGGTAAGATTTTTTATTTCAATTTTGTGTATGTGTTATATGTAAAAAAATTTAGAGCATTTAAATTCTTGGGACAAATGCCAGATGTTTGAACTTTTGTGTCCACTGCACTTTCAGTAAAGCAAAGTATGATTTTATAGATAAGCATGAGATTTATATACTTACTATTGATAACTATGGTAATAAAATGTGAAAAATTAGTTACATAGATTTATCTCTGTTTTAAAACTCAATTTTCATAGTTCTTTGATAGGAATTACCTTTTAAAATTGCATGTAATGAATGTTGCTTCAGTGAAATTTAACTTTAAAAATTTATACCAAAATGAATTTATCAGTTTCCTAGATGCTTTTAACTGAAAATGTTTCAAATTTTGTAGTAATGTGTTGAATATGGTTTTTGCTTTTTATTTCCTTTGTAAAATAATAGAGGGAATGAAAAAGTATATCCTTTTAGCTTAACACTAGATGTTTTTAAAGTTCTGCTATATCTTAAAACTTGCTGCTATAACTTAGTGGAAAATAACTCAGTTTGCAAGATAAGTTGTTTATTTACCCAAAATAAAGTGTAGTAGCTATTCATAATTAGTACAGTACCAAATTTTAGTGAGAAAAATCAGATCTCTTTCTCATGCCTTGCACATTTTACATTGAAAAAAAAAATTCCTAAGCTTGCCTCATTTTTATATGCTTCACATGATCTTAAACTTAGATTTTTCTCCTAAAAATGTGTTTGGTTCCTGTGTATACTTTTATTTGGACACCTGTGTCCCATCAGACCCATGATTGCATGTGTTAAATTTGGATAGGAGGGAAATTTGAATTCTGAAAACATGTTTATCATAGCTTATTCCATTGTCTCCACTGGCATTATAGCTTTTTTTTTGTCCTTCTTTTCAGACAGGGTCTTGCTATGCAGTTCAGGCTGGCCTTGAACTCACTTTGTAGCCCAGGCTGGCCTCGAACTCACAACGATCGTCCTGCCTCAGCCTCCCGAGTGCTGGGATTACAGGTGTGTGCCACCATACCTGGCACCACAATAGTTTTTGATAACTAAATAATGAATGGTATAGATTAGCATATTAATACTAGATTATAATTCTGTTGACTATTCTGTTATCAAACTTGAGATTTTTGAAACTGACATACTTTGAGTAATTTTTCTTGCTTAGAGATGTCAAAATATTAATTGAATCTGGCCATGTTCTTCACTGTTTTTTTTTTTTCTTTTTGTACTGGGAACTGAACTCACAGCCGTGCTCCTGCCAGGCAGGCACTGTGCCACTGCACTGCATCCCCTCCTTAGCTGTTTCTTATAGCTTTGCAACAAACGTATCAGGAATAGCACTACGACGAGCACCTAGCCCAACATCTGTCATCATATAGTCATTTGTATGCTGACCATAAACTGAGTGCTCTAACTGGTAACTTCCATCCTCAATCCATCTACATTGTAACTTGAAATTTCATAGACTGTCTGCTATGTGTCATCCATTTAGCTATGTGCTGAGTGTAACATTGTGTGATTAAAAACAGATATTCCCTAGCTGTTTTTGATCTTCCAGTGTAGATGTTTATTACAGTGTATGTGTAATTACACAGACAAATGTAGAATTGCAGTGGGAGCCAGTACTAGGAAAAGGTTGAAGCTGCTTTAAGAGCAGAAGCAGGGTGGTCAGTGTATAGTGCAGAACCACACATTTGTTTCTTAAGGTGAAGTAACAACTTGTGTTTTGAACTTATTATTCTGTTAACCAAATAACTTCTAAACAAGACATTGGAAAGACTAAATTCTAACCATGGAAAATGTATTTTTTATGATGCTACTCTATTTCTTAGGTTAAGAATTTACAGTAAAGCCTTTTCAAAGCAGAATTGTTACGTGAGAATTTATTTATGGGAGAGAAATTCATAATACAACCTTTAACGCTTCAGGAATAAATGTCATGAAAGAGGAGCCTGAATGCTTAGATTTAAAGCTGTCACACGCAGACATTTTTAAATAGTTTGATTTCCTTAATCAACTTTATCCCTTTTAAAAGAATGCAAAACTAATGTTTCTCTCACACATTTGTTCTCAAACATACATAAGTTTTAGAAAATAAAATGGGGATCATTTGAATGGCTAATCATTGACATATTTTCTATAGGACACAGTCTCATCTAAAGGAAAGACATTAGTGATTAAAGCATGATGCTCAACAATTAATGAAGTCCTTTTTTATGTATTAGATCTGTGAATGTTTTGGAAACTCATAGGAGACTATATTTTATTTTTAAAAATTTTACATGTATTGTACATGTTTACATGGTTCCATGTGATATTTCAACATATGCATGCAGCATGTATGGATCAAATTAGGATAATTAGAATTTTCCTCTTTATATTTGGAGACTTGATCTTGTAGATTATCATAAAATGTACAGTAAGTTCCTGTGAACTGTGGTCATCCCACTGTGCTAAGCTTTTTCCTTAGCTGGTAGTGTGGACAGATTGAATATGGGCATACACTCTAGTATGAAACATAAGAACAGAAAAATTAATTTTTAGTAGAAATGATCTTTCCCCAGTTTATTATTGAATATGTGATCTACTTAAAATATTAAATGAATACAAATCTCTTTCAAATAGCACTATCCAAATTAAGTATATTTGTAACTTTTTCCTCAAAATTATGTTACATTTAATCTATGTAGTGACTCCCAAGTTTACTTTCCTGTGGACACACTCAAAAGAAGGTCACCAACTTCACTTTCAGATATTTTAATGTGATGCTGTCACTTCAGGGATCTACCCAGTCCCACCTGTGAGTTCTGGGGTGGAGATGGAAAGGGTGTCTTGGGGAAACACTGCTTTCGGGGTAAACGCTTTTGCAGCGTTCATGGCATTTAGTGTTCTTTGGCAGCCCCGTGGGCCCTGCGTTAGCTATCATTGTCTGTAATGCCAGGCAGAGAACAGGGGTTTGCTACGCAAAGATATTTAAAACAAAAATTAAGTCAGACCACAGATGGATTATGATACATAACATGTCTTTTATTGAAATAAGTTGTAAATGAACTGTTTCTAAAGCAGACAGAGGTGTACCCATGTCTATGCTGTAGTGAAATATAATGGCTTCTGTTTTGAATGAGCTTATACTATCAGAAGAAATGAATTGGAATTAACTGCATAGGATTAGTTTAAATGAAAAAGGAGCATTTTAATAAATCATTTAAAATTTTATTTTAATATATTTAAAATTATTATTAATAAAAATTTTTGATTATAGTTGTAGTAAGAAAAAGAATGTTTTCAATATAAAAGTAAGAAACTTCTAATGTAGAAAATGAAAGATCCATTCCAAGATCCATTTTTTAAAGAATTTATGACAAGTTTATAAAGAGGAATTTTTACTGATACACATGACAAAGGTTTATTTGAAGAAAATTGATATTGCATCTTTAAAAATCAGTATATTGATAGTGATTATAAATATATAAAATTTGATATAATGTAGGTATTACAGCAATATTAAGTTAACACGGTGAGACCTGTACTAAATAAATTTAGGAGATAGAAGAGCAAATCCCGTTTATTAATTCTACGGATTCTTAGCAGAGTTGGGCCTTGCAGTGGGTTTTGAGGGCATAGTCGTGAAGAAAACTGCCATGAGCTGAAGCGATACTCCGGCAGGAAGCACAGACAGGAAGTGAGTGACTACAGTAGATCACAGTGCTGTGTGACGTTATACACACAAAGCATTGCCTGGAGAATTGATCTCTAAACGTGCTCATAATTTAATCACATTACTTTCCTCGTGGAATGAAGGTACTTACTGACAGAAAATTTTTAGAAAGTCTTTAAAAGTATATCTTAGAAGTTATTGAGACAGGCAGTCCTATTTCTTGGATAGCTTATTTAAAATAAAAAACTGCTATAGAAAGATCTTCAGTATTCTGAGATGTCAAGAACTGTGACTAGAAGCAGAGCAGACTCACGATGCTGACCACGTATATTATACATTGTGAGTGACACTTAATAAAGTTATATAAAGCAGTTTTGCATTTAACAGTTTGAAATTGTTGTTTGTGCCAAAGCTGTACTGGTTGGGTTTGAGTTTTAATATGTTTACAAGGTTTTCAGTCTCAAGAAAGTTGTGTAACTCCATTGTGCTTCAGTTTCTTAATCTCTAAAATGGGGATATTAAGAATATGCATATAAAATGTTTAGAACAGTACCTAGTACACACAAAGTACTCAAAACAGCCCTGTGTGTTTAGGTTAACAACTATAACAACAATAATGACAATACTTTTTAACCCTGAAAGCGTCCTGCGTGATTCACAACATTGAGTCACCTCAAGCACTTGCAGAATGCTGCTTTTGTCTGTTGCTGTGTAGTGTGTGTGCAGTGTAACGCTGCTGAGAGTAGCACAGATGGGCTGTGCATAAACAGAATTTACGAAAACTCTGTCAGTGACATAAATTCGTACCAAAGTTTTGAGACTTCATTAAGCAAGAGTGCATAAGTCACTCAGAGGTCTCCATAGACTTCTTGAGGACAGAGTTTTTCTCAGTTTTGTTATCTAAGAAAGGAAAATAGCAAATATCTTCTCATGTTTACTACATGGAAGATAAACCCAAATAAAAGTAGAGTAACTTTGGGAATGAAAAGATATTTTCATAGTTGATGGTTTTCTCTGCAGAAATCCCAACAAAAGATCTTTCTAATGATGGGTCTATATTATATTCATAGACTTAAAAATATATAGTGCTATTTGCTACTTAAGAGAAGACAAATTGTTTTGTTTCTTAAGGAATTCATATATACTTCATATAATTGGTGGATATATATTTTAAATTTGTTAAAGAATACATATTTATGATACGTTCAGAGTTAAATAATTTTTGTCATGTAATTCTTTTTGTTGAAAAACAACTCCAGGATGAAATTTAGTTAGACATTTTCTTGAATCTGTGATCACATGACTTTGAATTGAAGTCTGTGTGTGAAAAGTGTACAGA